TGTCAAGCTTTTGCAGCAATATGTCGTAGCTTACATGACCAAAAGCTTTGATTAGGTTCATAAAGATGTCCATAGTTGATAGCTTTCTTTCTAAATTTACCATCGGTTTTTTCACGAAGATAATTACCGCTGTTTCAGTCGAATTCTCTTTTATATATACCCGTATTGTTTTTAGCTTATATTTTTGGGTATACGGATATTTGTCGGTAATTTGACATATTCATCTTATCATTCTTTCAAATACTGGCACAACATTGGAAATTTGTAATTGCGTCGGAAATAATCCTGAGGCAATTGTCTTGTTGATATAATGTGACAGTGGTTCGCAAATAATAATCAAACAATGTTTCAACAGTGATAGCGACACTGAGTCTACGTTGGCCGAAGAAGTATTTTTAAGGCGAGAATTACATTTTTCACTTTATGTGGATCGGTGGGCTCGAGAAAGAGAGAACTGGAAGGGTTGCTTCTTGTGTTCGTGTTTAGTTGTGATGCATGTGAATTATTGGCTATTAAGTTGTTGTTCATTGTCGTGAAACGATTGTTGAAGCTTTCGGCAAATATAGCAGGGTCACCTAAAATTGTGTCATTCACCAGGATTCTACATATAGCGTGTGTGTGAAACGTATTTAGAACAGTGTTTATCACTTTCCACGTAGTTTTTGAGCCGCCATGACCTCGTCAAAATTTAGCATAAAAATAATTTTGCTACGAACTCTTGATTAAAGTTTCAACTTTTTTTCTTGTAGATCTTGTACCTACTTTCCAAGATCACATTATACGGTTTTCGCTCTAATTTTCCATACATGCTATCCTTCAGGTTTATCGACTATCAAAGTCCACTTGTTAGCCATGGTTTACGCTCTATATTGCTGTTCGAAGACACGTTTACCAGGTTTTTCACATCTGTTGAATATCTTCACGAAACTTCCCAAAGTTATCGTTGGTGGTATCTGCTGAATACACAGAGTGCCAGTATTCTGTCATCAGGGCATTGAAAATGTCATAATTCTGTGTTATTAACTTTAGGGGAATTCACGACTGGTTGCTACAAGAAGTGGTGGCGAAGACAGGCAAATGATCGGTAATGTCAGATGCTAATGTACCGCTATTGAACTTTATTTTCGATATGTTTCTGACAATGTGATCTAACATGCTGTCTTGAGCTAATAACGCGTGTTAGCCATTCAATTAGATGTTGGAACTCGTGCCTAGTTAGCAAGTCTTTGTACTCATAAATGTCCGTTCGACTAATGCCAATGTTGATATCGCTTTTTAAAATCATTAGAGTGTTCTTGTTATTGTTAGTATTAGGCCACTCATCTAATTCAGCTAGAAACTCATTTTTATTGTTTTGTGGGGACCTCTAACCACACCTACTAATGTGCTTTTATTTTTATGCAGTAGAATGGTTTTGGCTGATTTATTCGGAGGTACTGTCATAGCAAGTAATTCGCACTATGTGGACTTAAAAGCTATGTCTGTTTGACCTTTGTATATTATGTAATTTTCACGTAAAGAACTACACTCCCACGCGCAGTTTGAGTACCTGTTGTGCTTTATAAGCTCCGTCTATAACCGAGTTCTAGGCGATAACCGGGAAGCGGGTATAAATGACACGTGTTTTTACACAACCAGGTTTCGAATAAAGCAATGAAATGAGAAGTGTGGTGGTGAATTGTAGCACAAAAATCAACGAACTCGTCATATTGTTTTTGTATGCTTCTTATATTGAGATGTAGAAATGACAAACTGGATGTGCCTGATAACTGGCTACTAAATGGTCGTGGTTGTCAGTTTTTAATTATGTTGTTGTAGCTTGGTTTCATGTGGCGACGTCTAAATCATCTGGTGATCTGATCTTGCGAAGTGGACTGCTTGTCGCTTTAATGACACTAATGACACAGTTATCCCTCAAAGTAAACTGTCAATGCTTGCTTTTTTTTAGCTTCAGCGCTTCAGAAAAAAAGTTACTTGTTTTGCGGATTTAGGTGGTCGTTAAGAACAGTTTGGTAGAGTCTTTGCTTATGCCGAGGTCTTTCACAGGTAGTCGAGCTTTCCTAGCTCTTTTCTGAAGATGTTCTTTTTTTGCTCAACACGAACCGAACAAAAGTTATTTTCTCTCGAGTTATTAGTAGCGGGCAATCTGTGAACGGTGTCAATGTCTGTAGGAGCAATCGGGCATTCTACTTTAGCACCGATGTCAACCATCAGTTGCACTAACTTTTCGTCTGCATCATTTAGTAATCCGCGTATCTGAAGGTTGTTCAAACGTGACTATTGTTCTAACAGTGCGATATCTCTTGTGAGAGTACCAATTGCTTTTTTTTAGGTCCTCATTGTCCTTCTTCAGAGCGTTGCTCTCAGCGAGAACTTCGTTCCGTTCACCTTTGATGCTCTCACACTCGTTCCTCAAAAACACGAGGCTACTTTGCATTTCCTGAATTATTTTTTTTCTTTTCTAGTACTTTTTTCTCGCCGAGAGCAAATGCCCAGTGAAGTTCGTCTAATACCTGTTCAAGGGAAGCTTTTAGGAATTGAATTTTTATTTTTCAAGCTCCGCTATTGAAGGCATAGTAACTACCGAAATAGCTAACCACGATAGCCTTTTTTTAGTTGAGCAGCGAGGTAACAAAATGAGCGGTGCGTACCCGAAATATGACAGGAAGACGTTTTCGCCTTTTCGCAGTATGGGCCGGGGCTGGGCTATGCGGATCGCCCAAATGGTGACGGCGTCAGTGTGTTCCCTGCTTAAATAGGCGCTGACGTCACGTGGTGTTCACGGAATCTTGATACGCAGCAATGAATGCAGTAGCGGATGTACAGCAGGCCGGCGTAGCTACATTTAATACTTTTGATCGTTTTTATGGCGACAGCAAAATGCGGGAAATTCGGGCAGCGTTGAGTGGTAACCTAAAATATGACAGAATGACCTTTCAGCAATTTCGGCAGTACCGGCCGGGGCTGGGCTATGCGTATCGCCCAAATGTTGACGGCGTCAGTGTGTTCCCTGCTTAAATAGGCGCTGACAGTCACGTGGTGTTCACGGAATATTATTACACAGCAGGACACGCAGTAGCGGATGTACAGTGTCAATTTTTATGAAAGGGATCACGGCGACATGTGGCCTGCGCGCTCCGGTGGCTGCTGGCAGCGTGTTCAAGCAGGAGCGATAGCAACTACAGTCTCTTTTCGCGTTATCTTGCAGCGACCAAACAACCGTTCGTTGCTGATATGGAACCAGTGGCAAGATTGCGACCCCCTCCCTCTTCAAGGCGATTACGCGAGAGCTGGTAACCACCTTGAAGGGGGAAGGTTTGCAAGCTTGTCGTTCTATATCACCAACAAATGGTTGTTTTGTTCGCCGCGAGATGACGCGAAAAGAGACTGTGGTTGCTCTTGCTTCCGCTTGAACGTGCTGCCAGTAGCCACCGGAGCGCGCAGGCCACGCGTCGCCGTGATCTCGTTCATAAAAATTGACATTGTACAGCAAGCAGGCGTAGCCACATTTGTTACTTGTCAGCGTTGTTGTGGCGGCAGCAGCTTGTGGCATATTTGAGCAGCATTCAGTAGTTTGTAGGCTCTTGCTCGACCAATCACGTCATTCTTGTGGCTAGCATGGATATTTGAAAGGTTGATTGATTGATTGATTTGTGGGGTTTAACGTCCCAAAACCACCATTTGGTTATGAAAGACGCCGTAGTGGAGGGCTCGGGAAGTTTTGAACACCTGCGGTTCTTTAACGTGCACCCAAATCTGAGTACACGGGCCTACAACATTTCCGCCTCCATCGGAAATGCAGCCGCCGCAGCCTGGAATCGAACCCGTGACCTGCGGGTTAGCAGCCGAGTACCTTAGCCACTAGACCACCGCGGCGGGGCTGGATATTTGAAAGGTGCCTCAAGAATATTCGTACAGCGCATCACGCGGAGGCCCGAAAGGCCTGGAAAGAAGAAGGGATGGTTTCTTGAAATTTGTGACGCACCTGCAGTTCGTAGCGCTGCCACGTGCAGAATAGTTGATCGCAACAATATTCTGCACATGATGCGCGTATTTACTTGAAAGGTTTTAAAAAATATCGGAGGTGGCTTACGGGCTCTTTAAAAGCTTCGCACTTAACTTCTTCACTGAAAAGTGAAAAATGTGCACAAGCAACATGACACTAAATAAAAAATCACAGCACATCCACGGAATCAACGATAGTGAGTTAAGCGAGACTTTGAAGGGTTTTATTGGCAAACCGTGATTTATCCGCTGGCCGCGTCCGTTCGTTTGTGTCTTTCAGTCTCTACGTCCATCCATTCTACTGTCTGTATGTATATATGTTCATCGGTCCGTCCCTCTATCGGTCTATCCACATGTTCATCTGTCTGTATGCCTGTCAATCCGTCCGTCTGTTCATCTAAGTAAACACTTCCATGTACCACCATATCACATCTTTTCGTCATATATTCATTATATACAAGTACCGTCATATAGCGGACAATCTAAGGGCTAAAACGAGAGGTGGCTACTACGTACAGGAGATGCACGACCCACGTCGTAACAATATTCACCCCTAAAAGCAGGCGGAAGGCAAGAGAAACGTCATGCTGGTGTGAATATATGGGCAGGCGTATAATTAGTGCTGTCATACGCTGTAATTACTGCTGTTCATTTTTTTACGCAAAAGTAATTTATGCCAGTGTCCACGGCTCCACTGACGTATATCTTCGGGGATATACGTCACAAAATAATGCCAATGAAAAGCTAGAAGAAAACAATTCTACCGCCAGGAGTCCACCCTTCGATCACTTGCTCATACATGCGTGGCACAAAGTGACTCGGCGACAAAGGACCCCTTTTTTTTCTTTAATGCATGCCACAAAGGACACATTCTTTCGCATACTCACGGAAGGATCTTTACACCATTTCACGGACTTTATCCGTGCCTACTCGGTTATAGCGGGTGAATTATACACGGGCAACCTGACGAGGCGAGCTCTTCTCTTTCGTCAAAGGTACAACAACTACGAGAACGACCCGCTGTCCGTGTGTGCCACGTGCGAGCCCAAATACAACGCCGAGAACGCCCTGTCCGCACGGAGTGACCTGAACCCGTCGGTGGGCCGGTATCCGTTCTTCGAGATGGGCAAACGCCCACACGGTGGCACCGACGCCAAGGTGAGCACGCATTCTGCGAACGACGTTAATCATTGCAGAAGTGTTCAAAGACGCGCTAGTTACTAGTGTACTGAAAGAACGGCATCGCAAACCTACAGGACGCAAAAGGAGAAGACAATTGAGCGCATGCTTGGTTTATTCACCGAAAGTAATATGTAACCGAAAAACACCAAGTAAGAAAAAACTAGAGCTTAGGTTCCTACGCGATGAGGCGTCGCTCAGAAACGAAATTTCGCAATTTAATAGTTATAAAGAAGGCGGGGTTTAACGTCCCAAAACAATCATATGATTATGCGAGCTAGTGGAGGGCTCCGGAAATTTCGACCACCTGGGTAACGTGCACCTAAATCCAAGCACACAAACCTTAGGCATTTTCGCCTCTATTGAAAATGCAGCCGCAGCAGCCGAGTGCCTTAGCCACTAGACCACGGCGGCGGGGCGATATGGACGGTGAGCGATCACAACTATCATGCTTTTTTTAATGAAAACAGCTTCCGCCATTCCCCTAGTTTTTGTGTCACGAAGGGTGAATACAGGCGTGGACTAAACTTCAAGAGCGCGACTACGGGGCCAACTTCAGCGCGTTGTAGTGTTGTCGCAGATGTAGGTTCAGGTAGCGCCCAGTCTGCTCAATATACCGTGTCACAAGAACATAGGATACAATTCACCACGACCCAGTGTGTAGTGCAAAATTAAACGCGGAATTTTAAATATATGGGGTTTTCCATAGAATAAAGTAGGATAAACGTGGCATTTCAGCAAAGAAATTATAATGAACAAATAAACAGCTATTCGATTTCAAGAACAGTAAACTCCAGAAACATGCAGCGCTAATGCAGACCTACGCAGCTGTGTAGCAGAAGCAAACTACTGCAGATTGCTGAAGTGTTTGGTGTCATACAGCGTATCCTCCTGGAATGCGCCTTAGGGCGGAGATAAGTTAAAAAGGGGGCATAGAATGCACATAAATCTTGCGAGATCAGGGCTAGCATTACATATTTCATGCGTTACAGAGGCCGCGTATAAGTTATTTCCGTGTCCGCATTCAGACGCTTGAGTAGTACGCTCCACTCGGTGAAACGTGCTTCATCTTTATTATTACTTTGTGTCACACTCTTACTACTTTTCACAGTATAGGGCTCATCGCTACGAAGTCGGCACCCAAGCAGGAAACATATACCATCACTTTTCGTGAATTCCTTTTCCCCAGAACATCACGCCGACGGAACCGCCTTCCTAATGCCGTTGTCGCTGTCGATGATGACAAACGTTTTTTCAAAGCTGTAGATAATGCGTTTAACTTGGAAACATTACCATCTTTTGTTTATCGTTTAACTGTCACGTTCCTTAACGCAAATGAGCTAACTTGGTACATACAGTATTTATTTAAAATTAATTTTTGTTTATTTATTTATTTGTTTATTTAGTGATTTATTTATTTATTTAGTTATTACAGTACTGGCGGTCCGATCTTTAGACCTTAGGCAGGAGTGGGTAGTGAATACAAAAAAGGTTACAATAAACACATATGAAGAATTGCGGCGATATTAACAGCAAGAGAAGAAGAGTACAACGGGATCATACAAGCACAGCAGGAATATTTTAAAATACCTAGTGAAAACATGAATACGTAAACATATGGAAAGAAAAAAAGCATCAGGGTTCATGTAAAATTATGTCAGAGCTATGTCCAATGGACTGAAGGGCCTGTAAATAGGATGATAGCGACGGGCATTCTACCAGAGCTGAAGGAAAGAAATTGTAGTTGGTTGCAGTTCTCGAGAAAAAATAATACTGGAAAATGTTCGTGCGACTACAGAACTCGCTTAATTTTTTATTATGAAGGGACCGAGTAGGCCGCCGGTGGGAGTCTTTTAGATATGTATCCTTTTTTCTACCTAATTGTCCGTGATAAAGAAGGTAAAATAGTTTCATTCGTTCGCGGTATCGGCGACTTGCTAATTTTTCCAGCTGAGCCGTTTCTAGAAGAGATGTGACTGATACCTCCGAGCTGTATTGATTAAAGATGAACCTAACTGACTTCCTCTGTATTTTTACCAATATTGAAATGTTTATTTTTGTGTATGAATTCCAAACAGCGGCACAATATTCCAGGAGTAGCCGAATAAATGTTTTATAGGCTAATATATTAACTTCTGGAGAGGACTTACTCAAGCGCCTCCTTAAGTATCCGAATTTTTTTTCATTGCCTTTCTATGTATGTAGTCAATGTGGTCATTCGATTTAAGACCGTGAGAAATGATAACTCCCAGATACCTATAGTTCGTTACTACTTCCAGAGGTTCATTATCAAAACAGTAAGAAAACGTTATAGGGTGCTTTTTGCGACTAATTGTCATCGCGACAGTTTTCTTTTTGGTGATGGTCATTTGCCAGTCTGTGCACCATGTTTGAATTCGGTCCAAAGATTTATTTAACGTTATCTGGCCGTGGAGTGCGGTAATTTCACGGTATATAATAAAATCATCAGCAAAGAGCCTTATTTTAACGGGTATGTTCCGAACAATGTCATGGACGTATACAAGAAAAAATTAAGGACCAAGAACAGAGCCATGCGGGATTCCTGAAAGGACTGGAATGACACGCGAAGCTTCTTTATCAATGGCCACGACTTGTCTACATGAGAGGTAGGTTTCTATCCAAGCTAGTAATTTGGTGTTCTTGAGTATTGGTTCAAACTTCAATAATAATTTTTGATGTGAGACTCGGTCGAATGCCTTTTCAAAGTCGATAATTGTAATGTAGACCTGGTTATGTCTGTCCAGGGCTGCTGCTAAGTCGTGGACAGTTTCGATGAGCTGGGTGATTGCAGAGTAACCACGGGGAAAGCCATGCTGGAAGAAACCATATAAGCCTTTATTTTTAAGGAAGCTGGATACATGTTTGAAAATTATGTCTTCTAGTACCTTCTCGCGTGTGCATAATAAAGAAATCGGTCTATATGATGACGGAGTTGATGGCGCGTTTTTTTTTAGGGATCGGCGTGATTTTTGCGTACTTCCAGTCGCATGAAAGATTTGCATTAGACAGGGATTTCTTGAACAACAGACATAGATATTTAGAACACAATTCAGGATAACGCTTTAAAAATGCATTTGGTATACCATCTATGCCTGGCGATTTCTTGTCATCTAGTTTTAACACTAGTGCTAGTATGCCTTCTTCCGATATAGACACATTATCAATAACTTTGCTATGATCAAATTTGCTAAATTTGGGTGCGTGGCCGTCGTCGACGACAAATGCAGAACCGAAATAATCATCAAGAGCTTTGGCACTTTCTGCGTTATCTGTCACAGGGACACTATCGATTTAGAGCGTAGGAGGATGTTTCTTTTTTGACGAAATGTGTCGCCAAAATTTTTCTGGCGAAGTTTTAAGAAAGTTTTCAGACGAACGTGCTCGTAAAAATCTTTGGCCTTTTTAATACGGTTCTTCATTTGTTTGCGTAACTCCGATATCTTATCTGAACCACTTGAGCATGGATATCGCCTGTACTGCCTTTTCGCTTTGTTGAACTTACGTTGGTCACGTGCAATCTCTTTCGTCATCTATGGATTGTGTGTACGCTTCAAGTCTCGTTTGTGTGGCATAAACTTTTTCACAAAAGTCAAAACAATGTTTCTAAAAAAGCAGAATTTGATTTGATTGATTTGTGTGGTTTAACGTCCCAAAACCACCATATGATTATGAGAGACGCCGTAGTAGAGGGCTCCAGAAATTTAGACCACCTGGGGTTCATTAACGTGCACCCAAATCTTTAAAAAAAAGCACCACATATGTTCAACAGTATAGGCATCTGATTCGTAAAACGAGTTAAGCAAAAAAAAGAACAATCGAAAACATCCGTAATATCAACATCACTAGCACGAGAAAACACCGGAACAATGCATTCTTTCTTCGCCAGCCGTGATCAGAATTTCACTTCGAGATTTAGGCACACGAGCATGTGGTCTTAGATACCTTTGAATATGTCAACTCTCAGGGCACGATCAAGAACACTATCACTAATAATGAAGAGATCCAAAAGTGATTCACTATTCTCTCGTGTTCTTGTAGGCACCTATAGTAGTTGTGTTAGGCCATGTAATGAAACACTGCCCTACGAGTGGTTCAGCGGAGGCACAGAATGCTTCCTGAAAATCACCAGCACAATTAATTAGTGGAGTCTTGAAATTTCCGGTTAGCACAAGGTTAGAAGCGTGGTTCCTGCCCATAAACCCGCTGGCGCCTCAAAAAAAGTACCTTCACTGTTCGGGGGGTGGTAAAATCCGCCAATTACCAAATGAAATGCCTCGAGATGAACTTTCAGCAGTATGCATTCAGTGCTGGTAATATCTGGTAGTCGTGTAACACCCAATGAGTCGACCTGCACGCTGGGGCAGCAGCACCTTTTTAGCACTTCAAAGATTACTTATTTCTGCAATTAGAATTTATGCGCATTATTTCGCTATATAGAGCAGTTTTTACTCATTTTCAATCTTTAACTGATCTTACTTACGGGGAGTGGCTACTCTTACCTTTATTCAGCATCACACTGCTGTTCAAGTGAATGCCGAAACGCGCGACAAGGTCAAGTATGGCGTACACAAATTAGCGACGGACAGGTTGGTCTCCCTTCAAATAAAGAGTGCCTCTGCACATCTCTTTCGCGAGCGTCAGCGTGTAGTTGGGGTCAAAAAATGGTGCAGAATAAACCTCAAAATATTTATCGTTACTGCTAGCAGTTGCTCTATAGAAATTAGGGATTTTTAAAGCTGGTACATTATCTCCACAGCACTACACTGGTTGTCTCGGTCACGGTTCATTGTTACAAATCCATGCTGGAATATGAGAACTGTACCTAATCGTCCCAGACCATCTTGTAGAAAAACAACCATGAAAAGACAGCGGGACGAAACTACGACGCACAAATGGCACGGCATGCAGGCGACAGAGAACGTGATGCCGGCGCTGGGCGCCCAGCTTGCGTGGGGACA